CCACAAAACAAGAGATAGTGATTTTCAGTGAAAGGAATAGCGGCCATTTTTAGACCGATTAAAAAAATAATAACATTACTTATAGCACGAAGTGTGAAACCAGTATTCAAAGAATGCCGTTGGCAGCGAGGTGTCAGCAGAACTCCAAGTTTTGCTAGCAAACCAAGAGTTAAAAAACTGATCTAAAAGCGAATGAGAAGAATGAAAAGGGAAAGATAACAGAGAGCTGAATAACAGCCCTGCTTTAAAACTTAATTTTGTGTTCGTATTTTAGCTCCCCTGGGCATTTTCTTACACCTTTCTCTGAAGCAAAGAAATGAATCTCCTATCGATCCTCTGGCTGCATAAAACAAGGCTGCGTGGCCCACACGTGTTGGAACTGTTCTCTGCCAGCCCCTAGCCCTGCCTGTTTTCTTACTTCTGGGCACAGCAACCAAAGAAATACTGGGTTTCTGCTCAGAAGTATCAGAAGATACTAAATTTCAGACTGTATCTGACAATTTTAGGAAAACTCCACCATTTCAACAGTGTAATTTACATCTAAAATAACAATGGAAAAAAGTCTCTCTCATATCTAAACTTTACAGCTGCTTCAAGTGAAACAAACTTGATTTTTAATGTTTATTTCTGCAGAAACAAATTAATGCTACAAGCTGGCTGTGGAAGAATTAGCAGCTCGCTCATTAGTTGTCCATGCTCATCATGGGCAAAGTCAGGGAGTCCATTCTGGAAAAAGGGACAATGCTGCTAAAGTCATTAGTTATCATCACAGTGTCCAAAAAGCTGAGGGAGCTTCCACGAGCTACTATCTCCTGATATGACTTTGCAGTTAATGAAGCCCATAATTTGCATTTGAATTTCTGCCTTTCTTGTTAGAGCAAAAACTGCAACTCAGGGTGTACCTTCTGGAAACCTTTTGTTTTGAGTCACTTTTACCTAAATCCTTTCCTAATCATCTTTTTTTCTAGGACAATGAAGTCCAAGCTGGAAAGCTGACTGCTAGCTGAGGCCAACAGAAAAATGCCCATCACTCTGTTGGCTCACTTATGCAAGCCCAGCTGCCTGAGTTTTAACAAACGACTCTGCAGTGCAGCCAGCATTCCCAGGTCCACTACAGCTCCTGGAGGAACTAGCTCCTTCTCCACCGCATGGGCTAACACAGATACCTCAAACACCGAGGATGCCAGCCATCTTGTCCTTAAGCATTAACACTTTATGGGTTCCCTGGGTCTATTCATTGAGTACATCCTGCAACACCATTTCGATGAGCTTCAGGCTTCTCTGGAAAACAGCCCACCCCATGGGGAAAACAGCCTTTGGTTGCCTGTGGCTAGCATGTTACTTAGCTAGAGGAAGAGCTGCTCTTCCCATTAATCCTTCATCAGCCATTTAATGCAGACCTTAATCACGCTTCATAGGATTCTGTATCTGTAATGGCCTCATAGAATTATTTTTTTTAATTAAAAGATCCTGTAAATGTCAATTTGATGAAGAACTTTTAAACAAACTTCAAAACAGTAGAAACACTTTTGTCCCACTGAAGAACTGGAGGTAGTTTTAAGTGAGAAGAAGCCTCAAGAAATATAACTGGCTTTTCTCATTTATTTGACCCCCACAAAAAAGTAAAATTGTTTTAATGGATTCCCGTGGTCCAAGATATGATAAACACAAAGGAACATTTCCATTGGTTGAATACTTAAAACTCTTATTTAATAATTTTATTAATTTTCTGATACTATATCTTGACAAACAATCTCTCATTCACAATAGCAAAAGTACGTCTTGTGTAACAATGTATGACATTTAGAAACACTTACACATAATTTCAGCTCAGATACAGAGGTTTGTGATAACAAATGAGTGAGCGGATACCAATATATTTTGGGGCAAGCCATAATAGATAAAATGCAGCAATCAAGTTTATAAATATCTTAGTATCTCTGGTGAAACCTAAGCCATCACATCATTATGGCTTTTAGAAGGCTTTTACGTCCCTCTTAGATTGACTGTGTGGTACATTACACCCTGATAAACGATTGAGGAAAAAGTATTTTAAAATGTCGTGCCTTTCTGGTGCCTGACAAACATCGTGAAATGTCACCATTTGCTTCTGCAGTTACTGTTAGCTAAGGTCTTCTACAGTTTCCTAGGAACAGCATGTACATCATTAATATTAAACATGTCATCCAATTAAAGATGACTAACCACTGCCATTCTCAGGTCAGGCTCTATTTGTACAGTAAAGGCAGTAATTTTCTAAAATGTAGGGATAAAAAGTTTATCACCTACTAATTATATATACTATGAGTCAAGGTAATGTCATGCTACTAGTCATGGTCTAACGTCAAGCAGCTAATCTTAAAATGCACAGTATTTCACTCATGGAAGTGCGAGCCATAGGGAAGAAAAAAATTAACTACTGGAAAGTTTAAGTGCATAATGAACTGTTTTGCAAATCAGGCTCAAATACCCTTAAAAACTAGAGTCATTCTTCTGCTTTCCTGTATTTGACGGAAACACCATCAACATTCCTGAAATAACAGACTTAGTGTTTTTGATTACTTACGGTTGCTTGTCATCTTTAATATGGCAACCAGTAAACTTTTCTCGTAGATAAATGGCACCAAAAAAATCTCAGAACTGCTGCTGGCAAGAAATTCGTTCATTAAATGTGATTGAAGACTTTCTTATGCTCCACATTTTTGTTAGTAGTTTAAAGAGACAGAAATTCTCTGGAGATCAACTGCATGGAAAAGCAAAGATTATAAAATAGGCTTCTCCTTTGAATAGGAAAAAAGTAAGAGAAGCAAAGAAAAAAATAAATAAGGAGGTGAGAGAAGAAAGTGAAAGAATTAGAAAATTTAGATTTCTAACACCCTGTAAACTAAATGTCTGCAACCTGCCTCAGCATCATTTCAAAAGAAATGTTGATCTCCACAACTTGTGTGAAAACAGCATTGAAAGATAGAACTGCAATACAGTACGAGTTTCTAAATCATTGTATAGGCCTTATATAACTTTAGGGCAACATTTACTAAGATGTAGCATGGTCTAACCTTGATGAAAGAGAAACTACTGGAAGTTTCACAGGTGGCTTACAAGAAAGCAGGAACAGGTCAACATTAAAAGCCTTTGAAAAATCCAATCTTTCACTTTTTTGCCATTAACTGCTAGAAAATATACTGAGAAGAAAACAAGAGGAAAAGAAAATCAAAGATCTTTTGGCACTCTCCTACTTTTAAAAAATGCATGCATTTTTCAACAGCTATGATTTAACAGGGGTCTCAAGCTATTTCCGGAAATTTTCATGATTGAACATGATCTTTTCAATTGTTCACAATTGAACACTGCTGCTTAAAATTCAAGTTAACAACAAAGTCTGTACAGCATATTAAACTTGAAGTGAAAGCTCACAAAGAACAGCTATGTTTCTGCTGGCCTTGACACGTACAAATTAAGATGCAGTCTCCATTCTACTGAGCATAGTCTGTCAGTTGGCCTTCAAAATAGGATCTTATATGTCTTTGCATTGGAAATTAAATTCTCCAGACAGATTACGTCATGCTCAAGACAAGTTATTTCAACCAAAAAGGTTCCGTGTGACTCGATGCTTTCTTCAGTTTTCCAACAGCCCACTCTCACCCCTGCAGCTACAGGACTTGGCACAGCCTCCCACGAGAAGTGGGCAAAGCATCTGCTCGGCTCCTGCAGTCCCACCTACAGCTCTTTGCTGGCACATCCCTATGCTGATCTTTCCACAACACCCTGCATTAAACTGAAGTGTTGCAGTGTACCACTGAGTTCAGCATTTTGGGTAAAGCCCACTTGCTTTACCAGAGAGTACAACAGGTTTTGCCTACTAGGTTCGTGTTACTGCACACAAACCGGTGGTGCTATCCAATAGAATTGATAATGATTCTTTAAATCATAACAAATAATTTGTAAAGCAAATCAAGTTTACTTACTTAACGAAAAACTTTATCTTACCAAGAAAGACTGAAATGTGATAGGGACAAAACCCTCATTTTGTGTTAATGTGTTAAAAAGCCCTCTCTGAAGTTCAAAGCAGATTTTAAAAACCATCAGAATTTTAGAAGTAACAAATAACCATCTATATATGCATCTGGATTAACCAGCTTAGTTTTACAATCAATTGCATTATTTCATGCTCCAGGAAAACTGAATAGGACTTTGCATTTACAGAATTCATTACAGTGTTAACAGCAGCAGGCACTGTTAGCTCAGCATCGAAGATGAGGTTCCTAAGAAACGAAGCATGAAATGAACTGTCCTGAACCACCCTTACCAGTCCATGGCAGAGTATGAGACAGGTACAGTTTTCTCACCTCTCAGTTTTGCTCTTACTGCTAGGAAAAAAAACTGGACTAAAACATACCCTGGCATTCTTTGTGAAGGACAATGGCAGTTCAGAGGTGTCATAAGTAACTCTCTCTATGTCTGCTGTGATGCTGGCTGTGAGATGTAACAGACTCAATTCACCCTTTCCACTGTGCTCAGTAAGAGGGGGGGGCTTTTCCACTTATAGCTATGTGTGACCAAGTGAATTTTCATTTCAAAGGCACTCACTGTATCCCCTCAAGTTTTGGCTGGCACATAGAGCAAAGATTTATTTTTTTTTTAATCCATCAATTCATCAGCAAAACAGACCTTCTGATGAAGAGAAAGTTGATAAATAATTTAGACATATATTTATGAAGCTTCCTCATCAAGTTCACTTAACAAGCTTTCTCTCTTCTGCGAACTCTAGAACGGGCTTTTTCACTTCAACCAGGAAAGCACTTGCCAGCTATCAGAGCACTTCAAAAGGACTGAGCTTGTCTATCTCATTCCTTTTGCATGCAACAAATATATGGGAAATTTCAAAGCTAACTAGTTCAAACGCCTGCTGCCAGCAAAAGATGCATTTGGTCTCTGCTTTTCCTCATCCTCACTTCATGAAGAGAAGAAAAAAAAGTCAGACATAATCCATTTATATCCAGATCCCAGACTCTAAAGTCAAACAGGTAGGCAGGAATGCTGGACAAATAAGATGAAGAAACAGGTACGCTCTCCCTTTTTACTGGAAGCAAATAAGAAGTCAATGAGAAGATGTAAATTATTCTTTTCCAGTAAGTTATACAGGCCCAATTCAACAACATTACCATGTGGCTTTCCTCTGCCAAATGGGTGGCCAAAAGCATGGAAGCGCAGACAGGAGCTCGTTCGGAGCCTATTTCCAGGCTGGAAATGATGGGCGCTATGATCTCCCCAGCAGTGCCCAGAGCAGAAGGCAAATCTGAAGAGGGCTGAGGGAGTAGAGTCAGGCCAGGGTTCCTCCCCTATAGCGTCATACCCCAGTACTCACTGCAAGGCCACGTTTCAGGAGGAAAGCAAGGTAGGGCAGCTTTCGGGGCCGTGCTACCTTAGGCCCCAGGCTGCACCAGAGTTCATCTTCACCTAGCAAAACTCTTTGCGTTTTTCTCTCCGTAGAATAGAGAAGAGCTATTTCTGACTGAAAAGGATTACAATTCCCATCACAGGGATGTGCTGGGTCTGTGGGAAATATACTTTCTGTGCTTAAGGAACGTAGGAATAACTGGTAGTAAGCCCCAAGACTTCCTCCCTTGATTTCCAGGACCTTTCTGAGGCATCACAGTGGCACTTGTTGCTCTACTGAGGCTATTCATACCGGACGCTCCTTGTTTATTGGTAACTGAAACACTCTCTTATTCCACTGCTGTTTTGTAACAACCTGACACTGTGTGAAAAAAACTGTGGGCTGCAGATCTGTGATTCAGACAGACGATGCTGAAGTGCGTTGGTCATTGTTAACAAATGGAGAGGGATAAAACCTCCCCATCAATGTACATCTGTAACAAGTCCCTTGTGTAGACAGCATGTCACAGAATAAGAGTTTCTTTTGCACTGGCATATTTATTTAGTTTCCCTCGCTTAGCTGAGCCTTAATATTTACTGATCTTAGCTTCTGCAATTATTGGCCATGGAGTTTACAGAAAGAGTTATAAAGTGCCCTTTTAAAATAAATTACAGTAAGAAAGACATAGGTAAACTGTAAAAGCTAATTACACTGTTACCTTTCTCCTTTGTGGAAAAAAAATATGAAAGATTTGCTTCCTATTGACTAACAGGGGACACCATTTACGTCAGAACAGAAATGACTTGATTTATGTCAATATCCTCACAAACCAACAAATATCCAGGTAGCTTCTTTCAGTCCTAATACAATTTTAGCATCACCCTTTCGGAATAAAAATAGTTTTAAAAAGCAGAATTCTGTCATTTTAGAAGTTAGGGGCATTTTTTTTCCAAAAAAAAGCCCTGCAGTTGTATTGTAGGTTTAAAAATCTGTGAAACCCTGATGAGATCTGTTCTTCTGCTGCATTTCATCTCCAGCCTCATTTTAGCAGCTAATACTCTCGCAAGTTTCTGCATCGAAGGTATGCATGCTATGTGATAAACAGCAATAAATCTTGATCATACTTGTTCTTGAGATAGCAATGACTAAATCAGCACAGTATGAAGCAGTAGAAAATAAAGGTTAAGTGGCTAGAGAGTGATCAAGATTGGTAGTGCAACGTTACACCTCCAAACATTGCAACACTTGGCTTCAGAATTTCTCAACAGTATGTTAAATTTTATTTAAAATGGATATTGTACCTTAACGATTTATTTATAGCCAGTTTAAGTAGATTGCAGATCTGGATGCTTGGAGGGGGTCTGTCTCTTCACACTCACATATGTTTGAAATATAGATACCCTTTAGAAAATGCCCTCCCC